AAGAGCTATGCCTAAAAATCAGGTTTTCTGTGTTTTGTTATTCAGTATGAAATAATCCTGATGGATGTTTTGGCTCTTGTCTAGATTCTGACCCCACTGTGTCAGCTGTTTTCATATTCTTTGGGTTATGTGTCTGGACTCCAGATCTTTTGTTTTTTTATGCTGACTTTCAGATTTGTTTGTTACTCCAAGCACAAACTGCCCAGCTGAGCGTGGATATATTGCTGATTCTGACCTTTAAAGCTAGGATTTCCCCCTACAATTCCTCCAGAATTGCAAATGGAATTGAGTGCAGTATAATACAGTGGATAAAAATCGTTAGAGTGTAGCCAAGAAACGTAAGATTTTTATCTACACAGTTATCAATTTTTTATATTGGAAGGCCACTTACTTTCTTGGACTTGGACTCCTGAATTCCTCAGCCCCCACATGGTGGGAATAATAAAATGTTGGATTCATTTTTGTGGATGGGACCACCTACTTTTTGTTTTGTTTCTTTATACCAGAAACAAGCTTCCTTTCTGGCACTTGATCCATCCAAGTAATCCACTTAAAGTAATCCAACTAAATGGTCATGTCCTATGGCAATGATCTAGCCACTTTATATGGCATATGTAGGGGTGACTGTGAGGTATCATCAAAATATATGGATTATATTTAAAAATTACAGTAAAAGATACATTGCTATCAATCTAGTTCAAAGCATCTCCCTTTCACTTTGAACACATTGTTCATTGTTCTAGCTTGTCATTCTTTCTACTTTCTGAAGCAGTGCTGAGGTCCTCTTTTATGAGTGTCTTTATGGGGCATGATAAAAAATATAGTGAACATGGCTGCTGAGTGCTATTCAGCAGAAAGCTAGGCCTAGTAGAAACATGATGGTGTATCCTCATCCACCTCATTCACTGTGCAACTTCTGACTCTTCTCCAAAGTCAGAATGACCATGGAGAGTAAATCAAGGCAGCTACAACAGTACAGCTAAAACCATTCATGAAAGAGCACTTCCAGACTGTGTCAGAAAGTGGCAAGAATGATGGCATATGCATGTCCAAAATGAGGGGAATATTTTGAAGGGAATTAATGGCAATGAATCTTTTACTGTAATATTTTTAAAAAACATTCACTGAATCTTTCCATCGTACTTTGCATGTATCGACAGACAGCATACTTGTGTGCTCTCTTTACTTTTCTTTCTGCTTCCTTTTTTCTCTGTGGTCTGTCTAAGACCAGAAGCCCTGTAGCCTGGTCATGTGTGCCTCTCCTTGCTCTCTCCTCTGTGCTAGTCTTTGACTTGTTTAGTGTTTGGTTGTTGGTAGGCAAATAAAGCCATTAGGCCTGACTTTGTCTTGGTTCTAGGTCATGAATCTAACTTGGTTTCAACATAGAATCGATCTTATATTGGGTTATTGGGCACTGGATCAACAAAATGATAGTGTGATATTTTGCTTTCTGCTGTTTTTGCTCCTCAGATGTGTTGCTTTCTTTTAGGACTTCAATCTTCTCCTATAAAGTCTTAGAGAAATCTATGTACAAGAAATTTTAAAAAATAAAATTTCTAACCTAAAACTATACTGGAGAGTCAAGCTTTACCTTAATGCTTAATTCTTTCCTACAAGTTTTTGTGAGTAAAGAGGTGATATATACAAAAGCCTTTGGTGTGGTCCCAAATAGATGTTTAACAAATACTGGTAAAATCCAGTGTAGAATCTAGCACTGAATACCAAACCTTATTACTCCAAGGGCTGTCCCCATGCCAGCAGTATCAATGTGGTCCAGATGGAAAATCAGAGCTTCAGGTTGTACCCCAGAACTACCACTCAGTGTTTTAACAAGAATCTCAGCTAATTACAAGGCACATGGCAACCTGGCAAGTATGGTGTAGATTGTGGAGGTTCCCTCATCTCATCTCTTCCTCTTCAATATCATGTTTTGCTCTCACACTGAGCTACTTATAGCTTGGCCTCCCATTAGAGTTGAGGGACATCTTGGTGTAAGTGGAATGCTTTCCAAGTTAACTCAGATCCTCTGTCATGACATCTTCAGGGAATCATGTAGCTGTGAAGTTGTCTTTTCCTAATGGAAATGTGAACTAGTGTATGTTGAGGAGACCAAAACACTCACAAGCAGGTATAGAAGAACTCATCTAAGGGTGGTTTGACACAGGTGTGGAGACAAATCCTGAGCACAGACGGGGCTTGCCTTTTTCATGAGCTAGCTGGTGATGGATGCCTCTCCAGAGGATTCTTGCCTTTCAAGAAGAAACAAATAGAATTGAAGTTATAGATTGTTATCTCTACCAAAGTGTGTATGGGCGTTCTGAAGGACAGAAGTTCTATTAAATTTCCTAGTAAGCTAGGTCAAACTGAGAGAGTGAGATTATACATTTCACTAGATACCGATAGTATCAAATCAGTGGTGGTTTACTGTAACATATCTGAGTCTTTTACTTCGTCTGAAAGACGAATTAAATCATGACACTGCGTCCCATGAGGGTTGGGGGCTGGGCAGGATAGTGGCGGTGGGGTATGCTTCTTATTTTTGGAAGGCAACGTATTGAATTGGTTAAGAACATGGCCTTTAGAGCCAGAGGGTGTGAATTTACCCCATAAATTACAATATTCTTTGTACCCTCTTTCCTAATCTGTCATTTGGAAATAACAGCAGAATCTCCTCTGAGGGGGCCTTTATTAGGATTAAAGAATAACACCATAGAGGACTGGGTACTGCAGATTTGAGCCTTTTTGATAGGAGAAATTCTCTAGTGTTTTTCCCCCCTCACCTCCTGCTTCCTGAGGTAATCCTTGCCTTTGTTGAAAAATAGTCTTCTGCACACCCCTTCTCCCTCCACATAACTCTGCCCAGCCTGCTATATCAGGCAGCCACTGCTGAGTAAATGCTCTGGAATAAACCTCAGAGACAGAATAAATCACTGCTTCTGCCATGCTCCCTCCAGGTGAGGACTGAGGTCATTGCAAAAGGCATAACAAATAGTCGACATAATGTACCCAACTAATAGATTCTATAAGAAAAACTAAATGGAAAATTTTTCTTGAGCGCTGGGCAACTTCGGCTGCAGAGACAGTGGAGCCGGTGTTATTACAGATGTGGTTGAATCAATAATACTTTTTCATTCACTTTTTTTTCATTTCACAAGAACGCCCATTTTAACCAGCAAAGAGGTAAGGAGATATTATCAAAGGCAATTTTTCATGCTTACATGGATTATATGCCGGGACATATTACTTTTCTAAATAGCCCTCTCTCTGTTATTTTTTCCCTCTTAGAAATGCATTCAATTCTCTTCCAGCAGTGTGAATTCATCTGGAAATCTCTGACAATCAATTAAGTAAATGAGAAAATAGAATGCTTGTAATTATGATAATCAAGCTATATGAAACCCACCCTCTTAGGTCTGATACCCGTGCATCTTTAAGCAATATATTAATTAAACCATGGGTAATTGTTACAATTAGAATCAAGCTTTTACAATTTTTAAAAATCACCCTGAGAGTGAAAAGGGAAATATTTAAAAATATATGCAGCTACTTGTTTTTCATGTAATTCATTATCAGGTCAGCATTATCATTTCCCTAGCTATATAAAGAGAGGATTCTACTGTGTTTTATTGATGAGAACTCTTCCCTCAGAGTTGGAAAATTTTGTATATTAACACTTTTTTCAGATGTTTCCCTATTTCTCTAAGTTGGAGGTTGGTAAACTTTTTTTAAAAATAAATTCCCATCTAATAAATATTTGAAGCTTTGCAGAAAGAGACAAAATTTTAGATATATGAAAGAATTTAAATAATGGCAGAGAAAATGAGTTTCTATGGTTTTTGTATTGATGGAATTAAAAATATAGTGCATTAGTAACTGAGTACATTTTTTTTTTCTCATAATACATAGCTACTAACAAGAAGAATGGGAAAAAAGAAGAAGAATGGAATTTTTATTATTGAGCTAATAGTTCACCCAGCTGAGGTTCAGGGTTAGGGTCCACTCTGTAAATACTTAGTGTAAAACCTCTTAGTCGGTGGGCAGCAGGCCGGCTGTAGTTCGCACACTAGTTTGGCACTCTCTGCTCTAGCTAAGCCTCAACTTCAGCCTGGGTGGGAATCACAGCATTTGTTTCAACACTGCTGAGCTACACCCTCCCTCCAGTTTGTGGTGGGGCCCAACAATTTGCATTTCTAACAAGTTCCTGGGTCAAGATGATGTCACTGGCTAGGGGACCATACTTTTAGAACATTGCTCTTGATATTGGCTCTTTAAAAAAGTCGCATGGAAGAGTAATATTTATGTTTTGTGTTTTTATTGTTCACTCACATATTTCAGCTCATCTGATTGACTTTATACCTTTTGAACTCCAAAATAGAGAAGTAAATCCAAAGTTAAATTTCCATTAAAAAATGAACTGCTTAGCTAGATCAAGACTGATAATAAATCCCCTTTATGTCTCTGAAGTAGTTCTTAGGGTTTTGTTACAGAACTGGGCATTGGCAATGGGCATCTACTGGGCTGTGATAAAGAATGCCTAAATAACTCTTTTCCAGTTCAACTAAACTTACATACAATATCCCAAAGGATATATGTAGGTGAAACATAGGAATGACATTTTTGTCTTAGATTTAACATGCCCTAATTCACTAACAGTATTATCAACAGAATGTCTCCCTGGGGTTAGGATTTGTTGGTGAGTTTGACCCACACAATTTAGTGTAGAGTCTAGTTGAAACACTTCCTTCAGGTAGACAAGGGTCAAATGAACAACCAGTTTCCTAATTACAGAAGTAATTCAATGTCTACTTACTGGACCATATAGTCTCCATGTTGGCAGTTCAGTTGTTTTGGGTTCTTGGGGATAAATGCTGAATGGTTTGAATCATTGTTTACAATGAAGTCATGGAGAAGATTCTGATAAATGTCGGAAATTGATAAATTTTAATAATCCCATCTCCCCAAAGAGATTCATTTAAAAAAAAAAAACAGCACAGTCGAGTATGTTCTTCTGTTTATTTGTCCCGATGGTATTAAAAAATCAGCTTTATGGAACCATAATCTTCGTCATGACAGATGGACCTGTACATTTTTATCGTGCTTTCAATCAACGGTTTAACATTTCAAGAGGAAAGTGAAGAAACTGAATGTAAAGACATCTTCAGCATCTATTTGTCATTTTTAGTTTTAAACATTGATACAAAAAATAGTATTCTGATTAGCAGCTTGATTGGCAACCCAAGTAACCTTAAGTAGTACTACAAACCCGGAGAGAGAGTGCACTTTTACAGACAATTACTTTTGGCGAAACAGTATGTACAATTTTGAACAAATAAATACATAAATACAATCATTCATATATAATGATATACCTAAATGTCAATGATCAACAAGCGCTTCTAGTAAATTACATCTTCCATTCACAAGTCACTCGGTTGCTTATAAAAACTATCTTCAACTTTACAGAAGAAATGACATAATCAATTCCCCCCGTGAAACCACGTATTAGGAAAGGTAGAAAATGAATCCCAGACACTGTACATAAATATCCATTGTCTTTTGGTAGAAGAAGTTCAACTGAAAAATTCCTTCCTTGATTTCTCTGTAAAGAGTTTGTTTCCCCCACATCACCTAAGGGGTTTGTTCTTCTGAATTTAGTCCAAATTGAAAATCATCTTCATTTTGATTCTTGTTATTTAAAAGTACCTTATGGTATATTGAGACTGTTCCAATGTAAAAAGACACAAAGCCACACAAATTAGCCGCCAAAGATAAAACATTTTTTTTTTACCAAAAATAAATTTAAAAAGAAATATTAAGAATATAAACACTGTTTATTGAAAGGCATTGTTATCCAGCGCATAATGAATATGTTGGGGGAGAAGTCAGAGAGTTTCTGTAAAAATCATCTGAATGACCCCTGGTAGAACACTGCTGTTCAAATTTTTATTATTATTATTATTTTTGCAGTGCCTGGGATGGATCCCAGAGCCTTGCACATGCTAGACAAGCACTCTACCACTGAGCTACATTCCCAGCCCCAGAATACTGCCATTTATAATGAAACATTATTTTATGTCAAAGATGATAAAAATGGCTTAACAAATAATTGCAGCAATAATTTGGTCAGCTTCATGTTATAAAATTAACAAATTGGAAAGGTGAAACTTTTACTTGGTCACTTAAACAATTTTTTGAACATTCATAAAATAACAGGTAAACATGCTTAAGGCTATTGAAATATTGGACGAATGGCCTTGCCTTACCAAGTTCCATGCAGAAGAAAATGTTAGAGAGCAAGCAAATTCTAGCTGTACATACAACTGGGGAGAAGAAAAAAACTTTAAAATATATACATGTGGTCTTTGATGAATATTTACACATTTGTCACATGGGCACTACCTAGCATAAAAAAGTTAGGAAAGAGTTCTTTAAGACATGATTTTCTGATTTTTGTTCCTTTTCAATATCAGGGGTCTATTCGGACTTTATATTGACACATATAAAATAATTCATAGATATACATACAGGCTGTTTACAGTGTGCAATTACTTGACACTAAAGGCAGCTTCACTGAGCGCAGAGTAGATGCAAGGCAGTAGGATGGGACAGAGACTTGATTGAGCTGCGCAGCGGGGAGGCAAACCAAATATGAAGTTGTGAGACTTTCCCAGCAATTGGGATTCACAGCAGTTGAGGTTACAGGGTGGGGGTTGGGGTGTGGCTCACCTTGTGCTGGGCCACCTCTCCCCAGGCTACCTGACAGTGTTCTGTCCTCAAACTCCTCAGTCCTGCTGACTATAAGATAAAGATGTGTTAAGGGACAGGAAGTCCTGTCTCATACTGGGTACTTTGGACTAGGAATGAGACATCCAGTATTTTCAAGATATAGGCCACAACATCCATTTGTCTACCGTTTGATATCCGCTTCTATGGGGGCTTCCAAAGGTTAGGTTAAAAAATAATAAACAACTTTTTCAGCTGTGGGGTTTTCATTAAATGGGAACAAGGAGTTTTCTAAAGTATGGTGGATGTGCAAAGTGTGGATTTGCCGAGGTCCTAGACTTCTTCTGATAGATGTGGACTCACTTTACCTGTTCTCAAAGTTCTTAAAGAAGAGTCAGGTCAAATATTTCCTGAGATATTGTCTTCATGCATTTTACAAAGTTCTTTCCCAAAGAAAGGCAGCTGGCTTTCTTTCAGCACCTTGGGATATCAAGGCAACACACAGAAGTAATAACCTCCTCATTGAACACAGAACAAAATGGCAGAAAATGGAAGTTCCCCAAACAACTAACTTACACCCAAGGAAAAAATCAATATCTTGGCAGAATTAAGTATACTGATAGTTCATAGTTGATCCTTATTTTGGTATATTTTATGTGAAGATGATTTTATTACTACTCATGACCATCATTATAATTATCATAATCATTTTAGCATTTAGCATAATACACGATGCATTGCATTATGTAGCACCTTATATACTAAGGATCTCAAAATACTTAGCAAATGTGATTTGCTCTCACTGCACCTGTGAGGTAGGTATTTTTACAGCCATTTTACAAATGAGCATATTGGAATACATTAGGTTCAAGTGGCTTGCTCACACGGCCCAATGAGTTTGGCGGCCTCAGTAGGATCTGAATCCAAGCTTCCGCACCCTTCCCAGAACCCCTCTGACAGCTGTGCTTCTAAGGTGCTTGGCTGTTTCAGAAGTTAAACAATATTCCACTATCAACAGGAGGACCAAATCTTTCAGAAAATACTGATACCCATTAATGATTTTGTCACATGCTTTGCACATATGTGGGAGGGGCACATAATACTATTGCTAAGCTGTATATATAACTTTATATTCTCTTAATGTGATTTATTGTTTTCTGGCCTTCTGCCAACTTTTTTATTTATAGAGACGTGTGCCTGCCTGATCCAGAAACTGTGAAATGCACTTAGCAGTGTATGGAGGGAAGCAGGTAAGATTATTACATTTGGCAAAATCTCCTTGGAGGCACCATGTAATGTAATGTTTGTTTTGAAAGACCAAAAAAAAATTACTTTGTTTACTTTAAGTAGCATTTTATATACATTTCACCTACTGACCAGGTTTAATCCTTGGATGAGCAAGCAGAGCTGTCTTTCAAACACACAGAATATTTGATTCTCAAGTTTAAATTCCCATCTATTTCTCTGTAGCTTCCCTGCCAATACTAAGTTCAATTCTCATTGGAAATATAAATACTGTACACATTACATGGCAATATATGTAAAAATTCAGTGTAGCAATAACACATACACTATTAATAATCACATCCAGTGTGTCTTTCTGACTGTGTATCATTTCTGAATTGTTTTTGAAAAAGTTGTTTACTTATTTATTTTTACAGAGATGATATGAAGACATTACTGTGAGTTTCATTTTCCCAGAACCAGATTTTTATCTCAGATGCACAGTGCATAAGTCTTAGGAGTTGTTTGAGATAAATGGCAATGTTTTAGGAGCTGAGAGTGAAATCTGGCTCTTCTAACTCACTGCTGTTTCTATGACCACAGCCTGGCTTTTGTGAATTGGTAATCCAAGAAAGGAACTAGGAGAAGAAAGCAAAAACTTTACAAAACCCCTTCATCAGTTCATTTCCCCTGGTGACACCTGTAAAATATCAACACCTTAGGCCCCATTTCTAAAAAAAGGAAAGAAACATATTTACACTGGTAAAAATTCTAACATCTGAGATGCTTCTTGCTTGACATGTCATTCCAGATCCTGTGCATTTCTTCTGGAGAGATCTGGTGCACAGTGATAACACGGCGATACCTACACAAACTGTAGGCCATTTTCCAGTGATTAAAACCACTGTTCTGGAAAGGATGTATGCCTAGCTTTCGAAGACACAGTCCCACATACACATCTTCAAGGTGAAGCAGCCTTGTGTGGAGTGAGGTCTTATAAATGAGCTCAGCTACATCAGCCGAGAAGATATAACCAGTCCCTGAACAGAAGGGCGGGTAGTTGCTGTCAGGGTACAAATCCCTCGGCATATACCACTTACTACGCACATCCCGGATTGGCCCGCCATTGATGACATAGCCAGTGAAATACCTTCTTCTTGGCTTGGTGGAGGGTTTCAGGAGTTTATAAATAAGGTTGTCCATGTTTACAAAAATGTCACTGTCCGTTTTCATGACATACTTGGCTTTTGAACAAAAGGTGGCCACCCATCTCATCCCCATTAGTGTCTTGAGGGTGAGGTTGTGGTAGGAGTCAATGAAGTCCTCCACAATGATGTCATGGAAGATCTGGCTCTCTTGCTCGACCATCTGATTCAGAACAGGATCTGCGTTCTTGCCCAGGAGGAAGAGGGTGGCTATCTTGATCCCTTTAAAGTTGTTCTCATCCCCCCACGTCTCCCGGATAGCCTGGCGGGCATCGAATTCCTTGTGGGTGGTGCTGATGAGGATAACAAGGAAAGGAATGTTTTTCTCACATTTGTTGGGCTCGTTTATAAGAAACTCAAAAGAATGTGGGTTTATAGGTCGAGTTCTTATGTTGCCAAAGGTGAAGTTTTTCCTAGCAACCGTTAAGTGGCTGAATGGCTTGGAGCCAGTGTAGGAAGAAGTGGGACGAGTTATACTCAGATACCAGAGAGCACTGGCCCAGCACACGACCGTCAACACGTATAAGCAGGAGACCTTTGACGCCATTGTCTTGAGAGCACGTCTACTACAAATATTGAAGACTATGCCTTCTTGGCACTAGTTTCTTTTCATTTCGCAAAAGCAGCATATTACTAATAAATCTTAATGTTGTACAGAGAAGAGTGAGCTGGGATTGTCCACAGCCTTAGTGGCAGCTTGGTATCTCTGTTTTCACTCTAGTTTCTTCCATACCTGATGGAAGGCTCCATGCCTCGTAAATCTTCCTCTTAGCTCTGCAAAATCAATAAAGGACAATTTTTGTTCAGATTTATTTAGTCATTTTTATATCCTCAAATAAACATAACAGGGGTGTAAGAATTACCCAGGATGGCTAACATAAACATGATCATTCATTTCCATAAATCCTGAACACCTCCTGACATAACCACTTCCCCTCTTCCTTGCCCCTTTACAGAAGCTGCCTATGTATATTTCTGCCCAGTAATATATTGTCTACAAACTCTAGATGAATATGAAATAAAGTGAGCATTAATAATTTTTCAAAAAGCATTCTCTTCTTTACAAAAGGACATCATTCCAGTTAAATATTTTTCTGGTACTGATGTCTTCTTTCAAACAAGAAAGTCTCACACATGTCCCCAGATCTCTTTTTCTATTTTTCCAACTTTGAGTTTTTGTTTGCTTGATTCTGATGAAGAAATCAATTCTCAACATCTCTGTGCTTTCTTTAGCTCTATATTTGAGACTGTGTCGATCACCACAGGAAAACTTGTGTCTCTCTTGGCTCAGACTTGGAATTCCCAACCGCTCTCCACTTTTTGCTTACTTTGGCTCCCACAGCTCTTAGGTCATAATCCTGCTTTCTATGAAGCTTTATGCAGAGGTTATCCTTACCCCTCATGCTTGCAAACCATCACACAAGCACCCTTTGAAGTGGCTGGCATCATTCATCCTGGACTTGGTCTAAGTGGTGGTGCAAAATGTGTAATGTACATGTACCAACTCCCTGTGACAAATGTAACCATTATGTACAGCAAACATGTACTAATTAAAAAATATATGTATATCTACCTCAGGTCATAAAGTTCATTCATGTAAATAATTAGGTTTTCTTCCTAGTAACATTAGAAAGTAATAGTCCGAGAAGGCAGAAATAAGAGATGGTAGCAATTTCAACAAATTTCTGGTTTAAAGAAAAGTGTATGCTTAAATATACAGACTGTGTTGATGGAATTAAATTGGGATTATAGATTGGGAATCATGTTTCTAAGCACTACAGTCATAATAAAATGAAAAGACATGATGGGTAAAAAGCAGCAGAGACAAAATACACTCTTGTCTAAGCTAAAAGTTGATAGTGGATGTTTAATCCATCGGAGACTGGCGATAACTCAGTGTGCTTACGGTTCTAACAGAATATCAGGGTGGCTTCAAGCAACATGGCTGTCGGCATAGTCAGGCCTTCATCCAGCCCGTAGTAAGTGCTCTCTAAATATAAGATCCAGTATTCTTGTCCTCCTGGAGCAAATTTCTGCTGTAAGGTGCACTAAAGCTGATAAAAAAGGACATGATGAATAGCTTCAAGCAAAGAGGAATGCTTTGAAACTTCAGACTACAAGAAAAAAGGAAGTGAGAGAAGTAGAGAACTTAGAAAAGGGCTTCTCAACCTAGATACACAAACCCTGGCTCCATTTAAATTCCAGGGAGTTGTGAGTGAGCCCCAAAAAGGGTAGTAGGAAATAAACTTTCTTCTCTACTATTGTCTTAGCTATGTGTCTAGTTCTAATAAGCCCACTTTTATTATCTTACTGCTTTTGTTCCCTGGCATACTTTCCTACTAAATTGTGAGCCACATATTGTTAAGATGTCAGAGCAGTGTGAACCAGCCTCATCTGAAGAAAGCTCCTGCCGGGTCATCTTTAGGAGACATTAATTGGTCTATTAATGGAGGATTGATCTACTTTATATTTTTATCTCTTTTTTATTGTCCCTACAGAGTCAAGTTACTATCCTTCATTTCTATAGCTAAGCCTTCAGGTAATGCTTGAATTTATTTATTCATTTGTGAACTCACCTGTCAATTAATAAATTAATCAACTATTTATTGAGTACCTGTTATGCGTGGGGTATTGGGGAAAGAGCAATAGAACCCATTATTTCTAGATTTCATGTAAATGATTAAAGAAATTTCCTCCTGAGGGTACTGGAATGCACAGGAGAGGCGGAGTGGAGGACAGGCTGTGAGGGTACAGGGTACAGTCCTGCAGACCATGCCGAGCACCGTCCGGGCGGTCACCATTCGCTTAAACTGCGACGTGGATCTCATGCTCCACTCTACCTTGGAGTCGAGCAATGAGGGAGGCCTGGGGAGGATGGTGGGGAAAGTTCTCACAGGGTTAGCTAAACTGAGTCTTCGCAGGTAACTAGGAATTTTCTGGGTGGGGCTTGGGCATTCTTGGCAACGGCATCACGAAGAGAGCATGGTGAGCAGCCGAGCTGTCGGTGGTTGAGTAAGGCGGAGGGTGGAGGGCGGAGCCATGAGGAGAGGCGGAGCCATGAGAGGTGGGGCTAGAGTTTGGCAGGGTCCAGTGGTGAGCAGTATCCAGAAACCACTGTGAACTGAAAACCCATCCATGCCATCTAAAGGATGCACGAGAAACTTTTATCATCCCCACATCTTGTGCATTGATTTCAATAGCAACTCATTCTTCTATATCACAGCGTTTTGCCCCATTGCTCTATGAACTACAGCAGTGAGAATTTGTTTTATCTGACCACTTTCTGTGGGATTTTTCTGGATGAAGTCACTACGTGGAACTAGGAACCTGAGAGTTTTGGAAAAAGCTAAAAAAAAAAAAAAGGCAAAAAGTGTAAGAGAAATAAGTGAGAGTACGAAGAAATTATGTATTTGTAAACTTTTTCACAGAAAAATGGGCACTTTTTTCCTGAATAGTGAGTTAATATGATACTTCTAGTCACTGTTATTGTTAAGTCTCATTTTAAAATGCGTATAGTAGATCAGGCACTGTGGTATGTGGTGTAGTCTACGCTTTTTTAGTTTATAAAGCTTCATTCCTTACAGTGGTACAAGACAAGTATAATTTTCTCCATCTTACATGAGAAAATGGAAACTCAGATGTAACTTGTTCAAGGTCAGACGGCTATCAGGTGACCAGGTAAATGGTCACTTCTCAGCTGCCTCAAGTCTGTAGGGACAATAGAGTTCATCTTGGATGAGAGAACCATTCCAGTCCACGCAGGGTGCATCTTGGGTTTTTGTTCTCTCCCAGCGACCCATATATTTATTTTCTTAGATATGTATCCATTGCTTGCAATTTTTTCTAGTTTATCCTAGCTTGCTACACACTGCACTACACCAATTCTGTAGGGATTCTTTATCATAAAAAATGATGATTTGAAGAAAGCATATTGAAGCTTGGAGATGCTGGAAGTGGGGTGGATAGCAGCAACGGTTGAAGAATTTTTGAAATACTTTGCAGATCTCTTTCTCTGAAGTTCTGAAGCACACACACACACACACACACACACACACACAAAGAATGTATTCTATTCACCTCTTTTTCCTCTTTTCTTCAGACATGAAAATAAAAATAGGCATAGCATTACACCTTAGTCAGTGCTAAATGGAAGTTAATGTTTACTAAATCCTCCGTTAAAAAAACAGAAAATCTGAAAAGGAGCAAGTGTAGAATCTGAGGAATGGCCAAGGATAATGGGAACTTATTTCCCAGGGTGCAAAAAATCACCTTTTTGTTGATAACACAATAAATTTCTCAGGTGCTCAAACAAATACAGAATATGTCTTTGAGCTGGAAGTATAATATAGGTAAAGACCAGAAAGAGTTACATGATACACTGAACTCTAAAGATTAACTTCATATGTTGGATGAAATTTTTAGTAATAACCTAGCATATTCTGTCAAGCCTTAAATATAAAATAAGGGAAAAATAACATCTGTTTTATCTCCAAATATATTAGATGTATTAACACTCTCTGCCAGATCATGTGAGTTTCTGGGGAAAGGGCTCTTCTATTCAGGCAGAAAGACAGGATTAGGTTGCAAAGAGTGGGACCTGATGGATTATGACAATTCATTACTTTATGGTATTGCATTCTGAACATTTAGATTCATCATTTCTTCTACATAGGCATAGTTTGGTCAGTGAGTACACAATACAGATTTTCCTGCTAGAGAAGTCCTCTCTTCCTGGAAAACTGAAAGCCATAGCCCACTGGAAAGCAACGACAGACCCTCTGCAACAATCACCCGGGATGTTCTGGGAGATGCACGGAGTGCCACCAGGCAGCATCCTCTGGCAGATTCTCAGTTTTTTAAGATTAAAAAAAAGTCTTGTTTAACAGACAAGCTAATGTATCAGTGAAACAGAAAGTTACACATATAACATTTGTCATTTCTTTTAGCAGCTTTACCACAACCACAAGACACTGATGACACATTAACTTGTCATCCATTAAATACAAATCCCTCCAAATAGGAACATTCAACTAGAACACTTGAAAGATTTTTTTCCCCTCACGGACCTTACTGTATTGAAGATTACCTTATTCAAGGAGCTCTCCAGTAAATATCCACCTTCACCTTTCAGGAAGTTAATGGGGCAGAATTTTCAATTTGAGAAGCACATATTTCCCTTAGAAACTGCATGGTTGTTTGTCTGTTATTTTGGATAATATATTTTATTCCTTTCTCCCCAAATCTTTCTATAATTCTCCTTTTGTCTAGGCAGAGGTGAAGCCTAGGAAAGGCGGGAAGTGTCTCCTGTGAGCTGTGCATGATTGGGTACTTTTCTCCCTCATGATATAGGCAGTGTGATAGAGAATTTTATGTATGAACTTCACTGGGCTAAGGGATGCCCAGAAGCTAGTAAAACATTATTATCATTTATGTTTGTGAGAGGTTTTCTGAGATTAGCATTTGAATTGTTAGGCTGGGTAAGGGAGGTCTTCCTCACTAACTCAGTGGACATCATTGAATCTGTTCAGAGCTTGAAAGGAATATGAAGAAGGAGGAAGGGCCAGTTTGCTTTCCTACTTGTGCTGAGACCTCCATCCTCTGGCCTTGGACATTGGCACTCCAGCACTCAAACTGGGATTGAAAATATGGGATGAGTTTGGGATTGGAACACTACCACCAGCTTTCCTTCTTGCAACAGCAGATCACAGAACTTCTCAGCCTGTATAATCTCATGAGCTCATCTCTTATAATAAATCTCTTTCTAATAAGAATAT